TGCACCGACCTCCGCTCCTGCTCCTCGAAATCGACTACATCTGCGACAGAAGTAGTTGCTCTGCGGACGATCGTATCGGCGACGAAGTCCAAGCCGGTTAAGTGGCACGCGAGGCTCGCGCATGTCGGCATTGACACGATTATGAGCTCGGCGAAACATGAAGTTGCCATCGGCCTGGACATCGAGAAATCAACCGGAGCCGATGTGCCGTTCACCTCCTGTGTCGGCGGCAAGCTGGCGCGTCATACCTTTCCGGAGAAGGGATCGGACGCTGCAACCGCGCTCGAAGTCGTGCACATTGACCTCTGCGGCCCCTTTCGCATGGCCGCCATGGATGGGAGCCTCTACTTTCTCCTCCTCAAGGACCGCAAGACTCGCTTTGTGTGGGTCCGTCCGATCGCGAAAAAGAGCGACGTGCTCGGAGTGTTCGAGAAGTGGCTGAAGGAGGTGGAGCGGCAGACTTCGAAGTCGGTGAAAAGGCTGCGCTCTGACCACGGAGGGGAGTTCCTCGGTCGGGCCTTCACCGAACTCGTCGAGGACAAGGGTATCCTCCACAACCTCACCTGCCCTTACACTCCGCAGCAAAATGGCATGGCGGAGCGGGAGATGCGCACGGTCGTCGAAGCTGTGCGGACGATGCTGCTTCACATGGGGGTGAAGCATCACTGGTGGCACCTCGCCCTTCACCACACCGTCTGGGTGCGCAACTGCCTCGAACGGGCTTCACTTCCTCCGAGGACAACGTCGTACGAGCTGCTGTTCGAGAAGAAGCCGGATCTCACGCTGGCGCGCGTGTGGGGCTGCATGGTGCAGTTTATGATCCCGGAGCAGCAGCGCGGCGGAAAGTTGGCACCGAAAGCACGCTGGGGAATTCACCTTGGTGTTTCGCCGGAGAGCAAGGGATGGGAGGTGCTAGACCTCACCGCCAACCGCATTGTCACAACCGTGGAGGCAATCTTCTATGAGGCGATGTCTCTGGAGGAGTAGAAGGTGCAGCACGGGCCCGCGTCAGAGCGGACGCAGATTTCTCCTCCGACGGGTCCACCGCCAGCGGCGATTTCGTTGCTCGAATCCGAGGACGATGGTTCTTCTGCAGATCCTTCTCCCTCCATTCCGCCCTCGTCGAAACCTCCTCCTCCTCTTCCCGCCTCCCCCCCATCGCTCGCTGCCGATCTGCCTAGGTCGGCATCGACGTCGGCCACCAGCGATGAGGGGAGCATTGGTGCGTCACCTTTGGTTCCGCCCATTGGCATCGCCGGCGGTCGACGTGATCTGGTCAGCAAGCAAGTCGGCGTCGGAGTGAAGTCTCCGCCGACAAGGGAGATGTCGAACGGGGAGCGCGTTTCAGAGGAGCCGCCGACAGGGGAGCCGGCGAACGGGGAGCGCGTTTCAGAGGAGCCGCCGACAGGGGAGCCGTCGAACGAGGAGCTTGCTTCAGAGGAGCGGACGAGAGGGGAGCAGTTCAACGAAGGCACCTCGAGCGACGTTGTTGAAGTCATCGGCGGCGATGAAGGGGAGCTGTCGGCCGAGGAGCAGTCTAGCGACAGCGACGTGGTGGAAGTCTCTGCCGACAAGCCCGCAGTTCGACGTTCAACCCGCTCTAACTTTGGCAAGCCTCACGAAAAGCTGAGCTACCATGCTTGCCTGCCGCCGACCTCGTACAGCACTCTGTTCGACGATGCGCAGTTCGACGTCAACGTGCCCGAGCTCGACCCCGATATGCACGCTGACCCGGAGCACCGTTGGGACATCGCCAACATGACGGTGAAGGAGGCGTTGGCGAGCTGGAAGGGCGAGGCGGTGAAAGTGGCGATGGACGAGGAGATTCGAAGTCTCATCACCAACGGCACTTGGGAGCTGGTGGAGCGCCCGCGCGGCGTCAATGTCATGAAGAACCGCTGGGTTCTGACGACGAAGTACCACGTCGACGACACGGTCGCCCGCGAAAAAGCCCGTCTGGTGGTGAAAGGCTTCACGCAGATCTACGGAGATGATTACGACGAGACGTACGCACCGGTCGGGAGCTACATCACGCTGCGATTTTTTCTCAGCATTGTCGCTGTTCTCGACCTGCACCTCATGCAGCTAGACATGAAAAATGCGTTTTTGCAGAGCAAGCTCGATCGTGTGCTCTACATGGACCAGCCGGCTTACTACAACGACGGAATCGGCCGCGTCTGCAAGCTATTGAAGAGCCTCTATGGGCTGAAGCAAAGCCCTCTATTGTGGTACTCTGCGCTCGACGCTGTGCTGACTGGCGCTGGTTGGAGCAAGAGCCAGGTGGACGAGGCTCTCTATTTCCGGGTTGGTGACGACGGAGTGGCGTGCTGGGTGCTCGTCTACGTCGACGACCTGCTTGCCACTAGCAGCAGCACCGCGATGCTGAAGGAGCTGAAGGAGCTGCTGGAGGCCGCCTTTGAGATGCGCGAGATCAGTCCGGTCGAGAAGTATTTGGGGCTTGAAATCGTGCGCCATCGTCCGGCGCGAAAGCTGTGGTTGCACCAGCAGTCCTACGTCGACAAGCTGCGTAGGCGCTTAATCGACGAGGAGCAGACTGGTCGGCGTCCGAAGACGCCTGTTTCCATGGACGCTTACGCAGAGCTGACTTTCGACGACGAAGACTTTCAGTCGCGCGAAGAAGAGGAGTACCGTCAAAAGGTCGGTTCGCTGCAGTTCGCTGCCACGACAACTCGGCCCGACATCGCTTTCGCATGCAGCAAGTTGGGGTCTGGTCTGACGGTGAGGAGCGACCAGCACTGGCGCAAGGTCGATAGCTGTCTCACCTATCTTGCTGACACGCGCGATTTCGCTCTGGAGTTTGGCGGCGGACCCGAAACTCTGAAACTGGTCGGCTACGCGGACGCGGACGACGCTGGCGACAAGCAGACCCGCATCAGCACGAGTGGCTACGTTTTCACCTTCGGTGGCGCGGCTGTCTCGTGGACGAGGCAACGCATCAAGTGCGTAACTCTGTCCTCTACGGAGTCGGAGTACATCGCGGCCACTGAAGCTGGCAAGGAGGCCCGACGACTTCGATTCCTCCTCGCCGAGTTCCAACTCCTCGATACTGGGACGCCGACTACTCTGAACGTGGACAACCAGTCCGCCATCGCGGTCGCTGAAGGCTTGGGGCTGAAGGAAAACCTCAAGCACATGGAGCGGCGCTATGCTTGGCTGCAGCAGATGGTGAAGCGCAAGAAGATTGCGCTGGAATACATCCTGACATCTGAGTAGCCGGCAGACTTCCTTACGAAAGGACTGCACTTTCCGGCCTTCAACCGGTGCTCTGTCGCGGTCGGCCAGGTTCGCCTTGCCGAAGTCGGGGACGATGACGACGTGCAGCAGTAGGTGCCATGTCCTCTAACATGGCTGGTGCGGTGATCGGCGTGCGGGAGTATGCACGCCACAGAAATATCCCCTTGTATTCTATTACTTAGGTTCTGGGTGGACCTTGTGTGTGGGGGCCCAAGGTTGAGCTGGGCAGGGGAGTGTCGGAGTGAAAGGCCCCGCCCTCGCTTGGGCGCAGGCATTCTCTGCGACGTCGTGGTGAATTCGACGAAGTGATCGTCGCATTGGATCAGCCCGTCCTCTGAAACCGCAGGTGGTTTTCGAGGAGGTTGTCCTCTGATTCACCACCTCATGAACGAGCTCTGGTCGACGGGGTGCTGTTCGACGAGCTCGTCTTCTGATCTGCTTCTGGTTCGCGCGATCTCTGACGGACGGGGTGCTTTCCGAGGAGCCCCGTTCTCTGATCGAAGGGCACTGTTCGGCGAGTCTCATCTCGGCGAACTGTCTGGCCGAATTCGCGCGACTACGAAACTCTGCAGGGGCATGCGAAATTCGCTCAGGTGGCTGTTAGCGAAATTCGACCTACGAAATGGCATCACGTGCTCGACGGTGGACATCTTACGAAACCGTCGGAGCGTTTTCTACCTGGCACCTGCGCAATGTCTCTCACGGTGCAACCGTCTACCTGTACCTACTCGGCAGGTGCACACCTGCGCAGATATTCACCTGCGAATGCAGCGCTGGCAGGCCGCCCCGTTGCAGCGCTGGCATGGCGCCCTTCTGCTACGCTGGCAGGCCGCCCTGTTTCAGCGTTGGCGAACCGCTCTGATGCAGTGCTGGCAATTCGCCTTGCAAAATTCTTGCTAGGGATTGCAATGCCATTCCAGTGATATCACTTGCATGCTCTTCTTTGTACTATAATTCTCAATTTTTCAGTGTTCTTTCAATTTCCTTAGTGGAAACTCTTGCCAAATCTCTCTGTGAACACAGCAAGTAGTGAGAACTCTGTTAGAACGCTACTAGAGCGCTGCGATCACCCACACAACCCCGTGCTCTCCTTCGTAGTGCACTCCCGTTGTAGGGTGACTCTCCGCACCGCTAGCAGCAGGCGAGATTTGCGCGTAGCAGCAGCGATACGCTGGCAGCAGGCGCGATCTGCCCGTAGCAGCAGCGATCTGCTAGCAGCAGGCGCGAGATCCGTCCATAGTAGCGTGATATCCACTAGGAGTAGCGCGAGGCACTCGCAGCAGTGAGCAATCCGCTAGCAACTGTGAGAGTGGCTCGTAGCAGCGCGAATTTCATTGGTGTCAGCGAGATCTGCCCATAGAAGCTTGAAATCCGCCAGCAGCAGCGAGACTCGTTCGCAGTAGCTGGAAATCCGTTGGCATTTAGCGCGATGTCTGCTCATACCAGTGCAGGCCCCGAGTATCAGCGAGAAGCTCGAGCGTGAACCGCCCGTAGCAGTAGGGAGCTCGCCCAAAGCACTGCAGGCTGCGAGTAGCAACAAGGAACTTGCTAGTAGAATTGTAAACCGCCGGTAGCATCAGGAAACTCACCCACAACAGCGCAAGCCGCGAGTAGCAATGGAAAACGCGCTAGTAGCAGTGTGAACCGTTCGTAGGCTGGAGGCAACTCGCCCACAGCAGCGCAGACATCGAGTAGCAGTCAGAAACGATGCTAGTAGCAGCGTGAACCGTCGTCCGCTTTGAGGCATGGACGACGACCCAGACCCCGGTGACCCCGGGGTCGGGGAGAGGGGAGGACCTGACAGTGGGATGACAGGGACCAATACGAGTGGAGGGGGGGAATGTACGGCAGCACTCACTGAGACAACCCGCCTAGTGGCTGCCCATAAACGACGAGGAGGAGCTGCGGAAGGGCCCCAAGGTCCATACATCCGTCGAATGCACAAGGAAGATGCTCTATGCCTCTTCGGCAAACCAGCCAAGAGGCCATGCCATGAAACCAACAGTGCGGAGACTGTACAACCGATTTAGGACCCTCACAGCAACCAGGCTAGCCGGAGCAGCGGCCCCGACCAGTTAGCCGACAACGGCGGGGGGGTGTCCCCAATCAACGAGGAGGGACAAACGAACGTGAACGAGGCACCCGAGGAAGCGAGGGCACTATGGGAGGCCCACCGCAGGCGCTTGCAGCTACAGCACGTCCACTGTAGCCGTGACCTTGCGGAAACGACCATACAGCGAAGCGTCAGAAGTCCTGTGTCACCTCCCGTAGACGCCGACACTTCCCATGCAGCCAGCACCTCCCTGTCGAGGGGCAGGAGGAAACAGCGAGGGGCTCTACTTCCCGCCCCCTCTGCCCAACCTGCTCGAGGCGACCCTCACATGGGCTCATCACCCAGCAATCCCCCCCCAGATGAACCCTCGCCTTTGCAGGCACACGGTGGAGGTTTCACCGGCGCAATCCTTCCCCACCAACATCTGGTTGCCGCTCAGGATGACGCATTCCCCACTAGGATGGAGGTAGTTGGAGTTGGTGTTGACAGAATGACGGGTGAGGATGAGGCTGCAGTTATCTCTCATACCCCCCTTCCCACCACTGCGTGCAGCCCCACCCTGCTCCCGACAGCTCAACTGAGAGGGCTGGAGGGTGAGTTAAGGCCGGTGCGACAACCACATGCAACCCAGCCACATGGGCCGGCGGTGCTTCACATTTCTCTCGCTGGACCAGGTCACCCTCCCTCCCTCACAGACCTGGTGGCGTCGGAGCCCTCATCGGGCTTGGGGGCGGCTGTATCTGACTTGCTGGCGATACAGAACACTGGCATACCCCTCCCTACTCCCACCTCCCCGGCCCCAGTGGTACACGCCCACGAAGCCCCCCTCATGGACCTCCCTCTTGCGGCCCCCATCCTGCAGGAACCCTTCCACCCTTCTCCGATGGAGACCGATCTGATCTTCAGACCGTGCGCCTCTGACGCAGATGTAGGTGCACCAGTCCTGCCTGCCTCACCCCACCCATCCCCATCACCAGCCCCACCTATCACCACGGCAGATAGTTCCGAGGGCACAGCAACGGCCGACCCCACCGACACAGCGACGTCACCAGACGAGGTCGTGAGGTGCCCCACATGCCTGAGCTCCCTCGCGAACCGCCGAGCACTCCGACACCACATGCCATTCTGCCACCCTGCCGACGCACCTCGCAGGGCGTAGGCCCTCCGCGACAGGGCCTCAGCTCTACCTTCCCTAGCAGAGCCCCGAGCCCAGGGGATGCAGTTCACAGATGCACAGTGGCGTTCGCTTGACTCCGTCCGGTGGTCGGAGTACTTTGCCCCGGAGCGCATTCATGCCCGTCCTCTTCGGCGTATTCCCCCGAGGGTCCGTGGTGGGTATCTAGACATCCGCTGCGCCATCTTAGCACGGGTCTCCCAGGACCCAGAGGCACCAGGCCCTACTCTCCTCTTGGCAGCGGTACCGATGCTCCTACTGGCTCCGGCGACACCGCCAGAGCGTTCAAACACGGCCGCCATTGCAGCGCACATCATCCGTTTTGGACGAGGTGAGTGGGACGAGCTCATCTCTGAGGCCCTACATCGACGTACTCCCCTTCCTCTACGAGCAGCACGGCACGCTCGCGCCACCACTTTCTCCCCCACACCGGATGACCGTCGCATTGCCCGCTGCCTGCGTCTGGCGGCTTGCAATGAGACCTCGTGGGCCTGCGCGACCCTGGAGTTGGCAGAGGCGGCACCTGACACGGAGAGTACGATGCAACGTCTGCGAAGCAAGCATCCCGTCGCAGAGCGACCGACTCCAGATTAGCTACCGACCTTCCAGGATACTGCCCTTGTGCTCTCTATAGATCACCTCCGCCGCGCCATCTTCACAGCCCCGCGCGGGTCGTCCGGAGGACCGATAGGCTGGGTTGCCGAGCATCTTCGACATACTTTCCTTGCCTTTCCTGAGAGCCTCCCTAGCCTGCTCGCCGTGTACCAGCTTTGGCTGCGAGGCTACTGCGCCCCGGCAGCTCGGTCACTATTGGCATCGTCCACCCTGGTCGCTCTCGCAAAACCGAACCTGGATGTGCGTCCTATCGCGATAGGTGAGGTTCTGATTCGCATCCTTTCTCGCGCAGTATGCTTGCAGCTGCGGGACCAGATGGCTAGAGTTTTTCTCGCGTCACAGCAGTTTGGGGTGGGCGTTACCTGTGGGACAGTGGTCGTGGTTAGAGGCGTTCGTCGCGCCCTGGATGACCACCCTGACTGGGTGGTTCTTCAGCTGGACGTGGCGAACGCCTTTAACTCGTTTCATCGAGACGCCATGTTCCAGGCCCTCTACACTAGTGCTGAGTTCCACTGTCTTATTCCTTTCATTCGCCTTTTCTATGGGACACCCTCCGATCTCCTTTACCGGGCGAATGGAGGGGTGACCACCATTCAATCGGAGCGCGGGACCCGTCAGGGCGACCCGATCAGCCCTTTCTTGTATGCACTCACACAGCGCATGGCTCTACAGCCAGTTCTAGCTGAGGGCGATGTCCAGCTATGGTCATACGCAGATGACATTTACGTGCTGGGCCCTCCTTCCAGGGTGCTACACCACTTCGCAGAGATTGTGAGGCACTTGCGCGAGCTGGGCCTTGCGGTCCAGCCACACAAGTGTCTCGTCTACGGCAGGGATTTTGTGACTTCCAGGGAGGTGGAGGCATTTACGAGTCTGGGGATCAAGGTCGCTCGCAGAGGACTCACCGTCACGGGAGTGCCGGTGGGCTCTGACGCTTTTGTGGAGAGGAGCCTACCTGAGCATCTGGAGAGGATGGGGCGCGTGTTGCCGTGGCTTCCGAGACTGCGCCAGCCCCAGACAACGGCCCGTCTACTTTCGGCATGCGTCAGCACGCGACCGCAGTATCTGGCGAGGACGGTCCCTCCGACCCCGGCTGTACGTGCCAGTTTTGCACGGTGGGATGAGCGGTTGGGGGAGACCTTTCAACAGCTTCTGGTGCCTGGGAATTGGACTTGCAGAGAGGACGTTCGTGAGGCTGCCCTGGACCAAATCTACCTCCCCATACGTCTAGGGGGTTTTGGCATCCGACGCATGGAGCGTATCGCCCCGGTGAGTTATGCGTGCTCTTGGGTACAGTGCGCGCCGATCCTTTGCTCCCTCCCAATGTGCGGCGCGACCTTCCGACAGAGCTTCGCATCAGATGATATTGACCAGATCGATCGATCACTGCGGACGGCGATGGAGGGCCTCCCACGTGAAATCCTCTCTCTCTTCCCCCCTTGGCACTCTTGTGTCTCTGCTGCCCCTGATTCTCTTTTCACAGGAGTGAGCCGCGTCTTGGAGGCGCGGGCCTTGGAGTCAGTCCGGGCCCGTCACACTAACCCCTTGCACCTTGCCCGTTTGACATCCCTTCAGGGCGCAGGTGCAGGCGCGTGGTTGACGGCGGTGCCATACGCAGACTCGCTGCGCATCCCAGAGGCGCAGTGGCAGGTGGCCTCAGCTTTCCATCTCGGCCTCCCTATCCCCCAACTAGCCCTTGCAGGTCGGTGTTCTTGTGGGCAGGCGATCGACGACATGACGGTACCTCACCACGAGGTGCGGTGCTCCCGCTTCGGCGTCGCCATGGTCATCGACGACACCGTGAAATACATGCTTCGGGACTTTGCTTCTGAGGCAGGTTTCGCGGTGAAGGTGGAGGACACCACTTTGATTCTGCATCTGGAGGCAGCTAGAGCGCGACTGCAGGGACTCTCGGGGACGGGGGACGGGGTACCGGGACAGTCAGGGGCACCGTGGGGACAGCAGCAGCAGCAGGGTGGGCTCGGTCGAGGGGCTGGTGGGCAGGAGGGCCGAGAGGGGCAGGATGGGCTGGCTAGTGGGGGAGAGGAGGGGGGACAGCAGCAGCAGCGGCAGCAGCAGCAGCAGCAATAGCAGCAGCTAGGCCAGCAGGGGCAAGAGGGGCAGACCCGTAGGGGTGAGGAGAGGGGACAGCATGGACAGCAGCAGCGGGGCCAGCAGGGGCAGGAGGGGCTGGCTAGTGGGGGAGAGGAGAGTGGACAGCAGCAGCAGCAGCAGGAGCAGCAGCAGCAGCAGCCGCAGTCGCAGCGGCAGCAGGGCCAGCAGGGGCAGCGGCAGCAGGTTTGTAGGGGAGAGGAGAGAGGGCAACAGCGGCAGCACCAGGAAGGTCAGCAGGGTCAACAGGGGCGGCAGCAGGAGGGTCAGCATGGGGAGCGGCGTGAGGGTCAGCAGGGGCAGCCTGGCTTGGAGGAGTTGAGGAGACAGCAACAGCAGCGACGACAGCAGGAGGGCCAGCAGGGGCAGGAGGGGCAGGCCAGTATGGGAGAGGAGAGAGGGCAGCAAGAGCAGCAGCAAGAGGGTCAGCAGGGGCAGCAGCAGGAAGGTCAATAGGGGCGACAGCAGGAGGGTCAACGGGGCCAGGCTACGAGGGGAGAGGAGATGGGACAGCAGCGACAGCAGCAGCAGCAGCTGCAGCAGCAGCAGCAGCAGCAGCAGCAGCAGCAGCAGCAGCAGCACCAGCAGCAACAGCAGCAGCAGCAGCAGCAACAGCAGCAGCAGCAGCAGCAGCAGCAGCAGCAGCAGCAGCAGCAACAGCAACAGCATGGCCAGCAATGGCAGGAGGGGCAGGTTAGTGGGGGAGAGGAGAGAGGACAGCACAGCCAGCAACAGGAGGTTCAGCAGGGGCAGGAGAGGCCGGTGAGTGGGGTAGAGGAGAGGGGACAGCAGGGGCAGCAGCGGGATGGCCAGCAAGGGCAGGTCGGGCTCCGGGTCCAGGGGGCGACCCAGCCCTTGGGTGCGGGCTGGTTCGGGGAGAGAGGGAGAGAGGAGGTGGCGGGGAACACGACTGCGGGAGCGCAGGGGTTAGGAGGGGAGGGTATGGAAGAGGGGGATAGGGCGAGGGTGCTGGGGGGTTTGGGGTTGGGGAGAGGGGATGGGAGGAGGCAGGTGGGTGGGGGAGAGGATAGAGAGGCAGAGACGACAAGGGAGGAGGCACAGAGGGACCAGGCACAGGAGCAGCCAGTACAACAGCAAAGGCAGGCTGGACGCACAGGCCGCATAGGGGCACCAGCCCGCATTCCAGACCTGACATGCCACGATATAGAAAAAACTTTGATGGTGTTGGTAGACGTCTCCATTGTAGATCCACAGCAACAGGGGAATACCGGGCTTAGACGAGTGGCCCCAGTGCAGATAGGTGTTGCAGCAGCCAGACGAGTGCAGGACAAAGTTGCAGGATTGGGCACCGCATCTAGAGGGATTACAACCGCCGCCACACTTTTACAGATGTTTGGGTTGCTCAGCGAGCCAATGAGGCAGTTTCTAGGGCTTTGTGCGCGGCGGATTGCACGGCGGCGTATAGACTTGGAGGGGGGGGATGACGGGTCAGCACGGATCTTCGAGACCGGACTCACTACACGACTTTCCGTGGCACTGCACCGAGCGCATGCTCAGAGTATTATACAGCACGCGGTGCGGCAGTTGGGAGGGTCAGACGATGGGTGGATGCCCGCACCAGTCCCTTTGGGTGCAGGGCAAGGCAGTTGGCATCACATTACCGGCTGCTTTGAGAGCGTGGCAGATATGCAGTATATGTACGATGCATATGTGTAGGCGTTTAGCGTTTGTGCTTGAAAATCAGTGTCCTGCGCTGTGGTGCGGGTTGCTGTGGTGTTTTGGTCCTTAAGGGTGTTTCCTCCTTTTATTTTCTTCCTCTCTTCTTTTCCTCTTTCCACCTTTCCTTCGGCCCTTCTCTTCTTCTCCAACTCTTCTCTCCTTATCACCCTTTATTTGTTCCACCATCTCCACCTTCCTCTAATACCCCTTATCTTAATTACCACGACTTTGTATCAAACTTAATACATTATAACTGGCTTCAAGGCGAGGGTGAGAGAATGTACGCGCTCCAAGGGTGGCCTTGGTGCACGGCTCAAATGTGCCGTGTCGCAAGTTGCAACACAGCTCAGCTGTGGTCTGTCGCAACTTGCGATACAGCCCAGATGTGCCCCATTTCAACTTGCGACAGTGCAGCTCTGTTCTGTCGCAAATTTGATAGCTCAGCGCTGCACCATTTCTATTCGCGACACATCTCAGCTGTGCTCTGTCGCGCCCCACCCCCTTCCACCCCCCACCAACCCCCAAAACACACACAAGCACAAAAGCCCAGCGCACGGTAGCTAAAACATGCTGGGCACGAGTTGCGGTTTACAGTACAATATGCACATCGGATTGGTGTCAACTCACCTCCCATACCCTGTTCGAAACTGCGGGAGACCAGACACAGTCGAAAATGACAATCCCTCGATGCTTTTCATTTCACGTTAAAGAACCAGAGATTTCAATAACTTAGGGCACGCGTCTTTTGTAAAATCTATGCAAAACTCGAGCTTTGAGTTGACCTGTACGCAGTTGAACCTAGGTCAACCCTGGCTCGACAGTATCGGCAGCTGTAACCTGAGTCGTTGCTCCTCAACTCACAAGTATCACAGGACACTCGAAAGTTCAACTATTGAAGTTGAACTTTCCCGAGTCGCGGTCAACCTACGTAGGTTACCCTGTTTGCCACGCGTTTGGCGATGCCGGAACACCCTTTTCCAAAGTCGTTCGTGCGCACGAATTGTGTTGCGACTGTCTTTGAATTCGCAGCTACCTCGTGTATTGTCAAAAGTACACACGAGTGAATTTTTGTGCACGCATGGTTTGAGCCGAAAGTTCAACCCAGGTTGTGAACTACTTCATCTACAATGTTGTACTAGGACACACGCTACCCAAGAGAAACGACTACCGAGATTTGCGAACAGGGTTATCAGCAAAAGTTCAACCAAATTTTTGAACCTCTACAGCAAAGGCACGCGCCCTAAAAACACCCCAATCGTGTCGAGGTGATGCTAAGTGCCACTGAATTATGTAGGGTCCTGCAAACAATAATATACACAAGTTTTCACAGAGGTACTTTCTACTTTGCACACAAGGGCTTGATGTCACTGCCCAATTCAAACTGTCAACAAATCAAGGCAGAAATGCAGACGCGGGAGGACCATTCCTTTGTGCGTTATGCCAATCACCATATCCTTGCTCTCACACCTTTGTTCCTCCAGGCTCTTTCATCCTCCTCTATCTCTGCTTCTGGAGTTTGAAATTTTGAAAAATTGACTTACATGGTTCCTTATTGGTGAGTCTCAAAGCAAAAGCCATGTCACGTCTATCCTCACACATATGATCTGGCTTTCGTTACAGCACCACCTACTCCGATCTGATTGCACTCCTAGCAACCAATTGTAGTTATTCTTTCATTGGTAGAGGATGAACTAGAACTCCTCTCACTTCACACTCACCAAGTATGTGTGTACCTCAACCCTGCAAAGCCATGTGGGTATTACCAAGTCAATTTCAACTTCAGTACTTTTTCAACTCAACCTTCAAACTCTCTAGCATTTCATCATGCCCGTCAGTCAAACTTGGGGCGAGGCAGGGGTGTAATCATTCCCCTCAACAGGGTGTACGCCAATCCAACCGGATGCACGATTCTTCAATATGTCATGACATTTTTGTGCCATGTTAGCAGGTGTTTCTCCCAATGGTGAGCCTCAGGAAGTGGTGCAGGGCGAGTCTCCTCCTTTGGCTGGTTTCACCGTCACGACGAAGCATTCTGGCGCCAATGAATGCATTGCTACTGACGCCAACAATGATCCTAAAGCAACACAATGTAAGTCAATCTTTTTTTCAATGTTTGTGTGTGCTTGCTTTTATGAGCTCCTTCTTTTTTGTAGGTTCATGTATGATGAACTGTGTATGTTTACAGCAGCACAGCAAGTTCCTCATTCACAAGTCACAAATGCGCTTCCATCGGACGTACCTACCACGGGCAACAATGGCAGAAACGATCCTTCCACTTCAAACACTCAAGCTGGCTCTGAAAACGTAACAGCCAATGTACTGGTTCTGGTTGGTAAGCCACTGAAAGAAGGGTTGTTTGAACATGTAGTTGACATAATGTGTACTGACTTTGCATTTTCTTGTACTTCAGGCTATTCTCAAACCGGAGCTCGTCTTCTCAATCTAATTACCGGAAAGGATAACAGCACGGTTCTATGACTTTTGGAACGCCCAACAAAAGTCGCGAAGGTCTCGGACGAGCTTCTACTGAAGGCTCATCAATCTGAGGAAGCAGTGAAGGATGCTAAAGAAGTGCTTCAGCAGCAGAGTGCGGTTGCTGCTCAGACGTTAGTCACGATCGGAATGCTCACGCAAAAGCTTGCAGAAGTCACTAGGCCTGCTAGAAATTGGCCAGTACGTTAAAGAATTGATTGTATCCATTGTTAAGTCACACTAGTTAGTTGAAAATGCATCCGTTTAAATCTGACTTTATTTTCCGGTGTCCCTATCGTCCCCCTTTTTTTTCCCAACCAGAAATTGAAAGAGCAAGCAATCAGCGCTTTGCTAACGAAGCCGGGGTTCATCAATTTTGTGCCCAATGACGACACTTGGGGGAACGTCCTTTGCGGTAAGAGTGTTGTTTTGTAAAAGTTTTCTGCTTTAGTGCATAATCTAAAAGTTACATATAGTTATCATGATCTTGAAACAGCTTGCGCATGGTTAAATCCCGTCCATGAGTCCGGCTTGTCGTTGAAACGAGAAGCCCTGGAATGTGGTCACTTGGAGGACCTTCAAGACACGTTCAACAATAGGCTGGGGAAAAAACTATCCGATGTTCGCAGTGCTGCTTTGACCAATGAGCCTCTCTTGGTCCTTAAGGGAAAGGTTGACGGAAACTCTTCCTTCTCATTTGCATTGATCTGCTTCAACTGGGTATCAATAAACTCTGCTAGTAAGTTGCTGTTTTCTTTTCTTATGCTCGTGTGACACCGTTTTGGTAGTGTGGATTGACTATAAACAGGGAACCATTTTGCAGGGTTTGAAGGAATAGATTGGCATGTGTTAGATGGTGTTCCATTTTCCAGTCCAGCATTTGTTGCTGTGGCAAAAGTCCGGGCTGGCGCTAAGTGTAACAGCTCAATGATTGGCCTGCAGGGTGAACATCTGTGCACCAGTCTTGCTGCTGTAAGTGCTTCATATGATGTGTATTGTTTATTTTTTTTGTGAGACAATCTCTAATTTGATTACCCCCCTTATGCTTTCAGGTTCGCTACAGGCTTCGACATCCGACGTCTACAAAGACCAGGCTAGAGAGCTCTGGTGATCCTGATGCCATCGCTCGCTAGGTGCGCATCGTTCAACGCATCATCAACCGAGTACAGCCCTTACGTGGTCCAGATGGTGGCCTTATCATTGGTCGTTTGTATCTTCTTAACCGGACAGAAGTGTCCAAGGAAGTGCTGGAAAATGACCTTGCTGGGGATGAAGATGAGGTCTCTTTGGGATAAGGTGTGGCAGAGGATGGACATGGGGTGTAGATGGTGTAGTAAATCTTCCTGTTTTGCGTGGTTTTAAAAATATTTTAATATTTTTTTCTTACTAAAATATTTATGAAAGTGTATTAGTTATTAAAACACGTGATTATATTCATTGGATGGTATAACAGAATGAATTGTTACCACATCTAGTTACAATCACATATCTGTTATTCTTATGTACACATGCTAATTAAGATAATATTTAGTCACCATGCATGTAGCTTTGTAACACGCCATTCTTGTACCGGGTTGTGGTTACCAGTTATCGTTACGTGAACTTTAATGTGCGCGAACCGGATTCTCAATACGCGATTCATATTAAATTTCCGATTTACCTTTTCCACATTCGAGAGCCTTACTGGACTCCAGTTTCAGTTACATTGTTACATATTTTGCTTTTTTCGACAGCCGAGTTGGGTATCGATGTTCCATTCCTCGCATTTTCCTACTTGACGTCCGTGCACTTTTGACGCGAAAACGTGTTGACTAAACTTGTTCCGACGAACGCGCCTCGGCTCAGGCTTTCCAATTGAAACAATCCTGCGCACGTTCGTGAACTAGGGTTCTCTTGAAATTTGTGGTAACAGTAAGGGAAAGTATATCCCAGCTCCATAGTTTCAAAAATATCTCAAATTTAGTCCCAAGTTCACTAAAAAATACAGCTTTCTAGAATTTTGCTCACGCGAGGCCCAGATTATGTTCAAAACTGGTCCTGCGGGGCAAACTTTTCGACACGTGTCCTATTTCGTATTTGCAATTTCTGACGGGGGCGAAAAACATAGAACTCCTAGGGGAACCAGGACACACGTTTGGGAGGGATCAACCCTAAACACGGGGACCCGCTTGGTGTTTAGGGTTGATCCCTCCTGCAAATGTGCCCTAACTCCCAAGGGGTTTTATTATTTTTTGCCCCGTCGAAAAAATATAAAGAGAAATTGGACACGTGTCGAGAACTTCGCCTCGCAGGACTAGTTTTGAACATACTTTGGGCCTCGCGTGAGCGAAATTCTAGAAAGTGGTACTTTTTTAGTAAACCTGGGGCTAAATTTGAGAGAAATCTGAAAGTATGGACCTGGAATATAGTTTCCCTAACAATAAAACAGATCGTTGTTTGCGCGATCGAAGGCTTGCCACGTGGCGAAAATAAAACGAACCGCGCTTCCGCGAAATTGAGCAAAATTCTCAACATTTCCAACCAGTTGTCGAGCCCTAACCTAGGAAACCTGAGGTCAAACAAATTTCAACTTGAATAGCCCCCCCCCGATCTTCTCCGATGAAGGTAGCTGCTGGTGCTCTCGTTTCGCCATTGTACATTACAATGGCCGTCCGTCCCTCTCGCGCGGTTGACCCTAAGCCCTCTCAATGCTCTCCTAGTTTTGCGGGTCAACCGCACGCTAGTAGCACACGCGACTGTTTCCCTCGTGCTTGTGACGCCCCTGACTGCAGTAGGCCTGCCCTTGAACATAGTGCGCGCGGTTACAGTCCGGGAGCGCGACGCAAGGCCGCACAGTACACCTCGCTGTACAGTACGACGTCCGACCGTTGTAAGACTTCCGGTCGCTGTAATGCATCCTTTCGACGGTCTCGCGAGGCTTTCACCCGTACGGGTAGATTACATCGACTATTGCTCCTCTGGACCTGGAACCTCGTTATCATGTCACTCGCTACGCTTACTCCGCCTGGCACTGGCGCTCGTCCGTTTGTCGCAAACGCGTCACCAGCGGCGACCGTATCTCACCAGAAAACTCGCTTTGAAAAGCAACAGCAGCAGCAACTGCAACAGCAAGAGGAGCAGGAGCAGGAGCCGTTGCGTCTCCCTCCCTTGTTCCGCCTCGATCGCTTCTTCGGTTCCGCCCCCGACAGCATTTGGAAAACGCCAGGCAAAAGCGCAAGCAATGGCGAGATCGGTGGCGCAGGAGAGAAGAAGCGGGGGCAAGCGGATGACGCAGGGGGGAAAGAAGGGGGGGGGGGAGGGGGTACTTGGCTGATAGACCCGGGGGACGGCACCAGCGGGGAAGGCGCGAAATTTCCTTCCGCGGAGCTCTTCACCGCGCGGAACTTCCCCGTGAGGCTGCCGCGGCGGAAGGGGAAGCGGCGAAAGGGCGACCGGGAGGAGGATGTGGGAGGAAAGACGAACCCAGGCACGGTGGAAGGCGGTTCAGTGGGGCAAGACTCGTGAGTGCTCCCAGTAACGGGGGATAGGTTTCCCATGACGCCGTATCAAGATGTGATTAAAGCGGGGGAGAGGAACGTGGACTGTCCGTACCGTTCGCGCGGCGCGGGAGAGAATCTGTACAGAATACGTGTGTTGTGTGTATATATACCCCATGTTCCTCACATATACCCGTCCAAGCAGCAAACTCACCATGCTGTTGGGAGAGTAGGACGATGGGGTATACGACGGGGACATGCGGGTGACGCTCTACCCTCCTATCCCCTCCCTCCTCCACGCCATTCCCTTGCTTCCCTTCCCCCACCTTCCCACCCACACAGCAACCTCACCATGCTGCTGGGCGCGGAGGACGACGGGGTGTACGACGTGGACATGCGAGTGACGCTCTACTCTCCCCTCCCTCCTATCCCCTGCCTCCCCTCCGCCACCAGCAACCTCACCATGGTGCTGGGCGCGGAGGACGACGAGGTGTACGACGTGGACATGCGAGTGACGCGTGTAATGTATGATGCCCTGCCCCACCTTCCCCTCATGTGGCCCCGCCCATCCACACAGCAACCTAACCATGCTGCTAGGCACATGGGACGACGGGGTATACGACGTGGACATGCGAGTAGCCCTCTACACCCCCCTCCCACTATCCCCTGCCTCCCCCCCCCCCACCTTCCCACCCACACAGCAACCTCATCATGCTATTAGGAGCGGAGGATGACGGGGTGTACGACGTGGACATGCGGGTGACGCTCTACCGCAACTGGTTTGACAAGTCGGGGCAGCGACAGCCCAAGGCACGGTGGGGCAGGGTCCACGTGGCCAACAGCTTATATTCCAAATGGTCTTACTACTGCCTTGGCGGCCGTATGTACGCTGCAATTCGCTCGGATCGCAACATTTTCATCGCCGGGGACGCGCGAAAAGAACTCACCCCGTGGTTTGGCGAACGCACCCTATGGACCGAGGGGTTTGATACGACTCCTGTGATCCAGTCGTTTGGGGATTTCCTGGTGAATGGAGCGACTTTTACAGAGTTTAACGCGGATTTGTCGATTTTAGACCCGCCGTATCGGCTGCCGATGCACACTGCGGACCGGGAGCTCGTGCACTTTAGACGCGTTAATGCAGGGCCTAGAAACGGGGATGTTCCCGAGCTGTCGTGCACGCCGAAAACGTGCTTCCAGTGAGGCTGAAGCAGAGTGGAGAGGGGGTGGATGTGGTTGCAGGGGTGGATGGATGGATGGTAGGAAAGGGATGGAGTGGTGGTGGGATGGATGGAATTTTGAGGTGCCTCAAAGGACTGAAGCTGAGCGGAGAGGGGGTGAACGGTTGCAGGGACGGATCATGGATGGAAGGGAAGGGATGGAGTGGTGGTGGGATGGATGGAGTGATGGATGGGGAGAGACAGTGGAATGGACGGTTGGGAGGAGAGATGGAGGCATGGAGGGATGGATGATTGATGGAGGGGAAGAGATGGGGGAATGGAGGTGGAGGAGTGGTGGGATGGAATGGGGAAATGGAAGGTTGGGGAGGAATTGCAGAAAGGAGGAACATGGGTGGGTTGGGCGCTTGCCCACCTGAAACCAAGATGTTTCAGAGCTGCTGAGGTTGTGTTATCGGTACACCTGCAATCTTTGTTTTGCATGTACCATGTCCCATCCCATTTCATGTGAAGCTGGAAATAAATGAATGCTGTGCCTGGCGGGTATTCTCTCCAACTAGTAACTGCCATTGCTGTTGTGCAATTTCTACCAGGGTTTCGCAAGCAGGTTCTCCCAGAGTAGGCAGCTCCTCTCTCAAGAGAAGCAGATTGTACGGTATGGCAGGTTCCCGTCTCTCCCAGGGACTATTTATTATTTCTGCTGCAAAGCTGTTTTTCCTCCAGTGAACACTCAAGCATTGATCCAGCCCTAGTATGATTTATGACAACAATATCAAATTAACACAAAGAACTCTGTGACGGTATTTTTACAATTTTCAACAAACAGTCAACAATTGTGAACAATGACTTCGCCTGGGTTTCTGCTTCTTTCCCTTCGGATCAAACACCTTGGATCAATCCTCCCAAATCAACCAAGTCCCCTCTGTTTGTTCTCTTTTCCGCCTTGGCAGCATCTGAGCCAGCCTTGATCGTTGCTTGCTGCTTGAGTTTTTTCTCCGGGCTGTCATCCTCGCCGGGCAGGCGTAAGAAAGCGAGCGCCAGGCCGATGAGAAAGGCGGGCTGGATGGATGGTGGTTGCACCTAGGAGGAACAAGGGGGATGGGAAGGAGGGGTAGAGGAGGCATGATTGGAGGCGATTGACAAGGAAAAGTAGACGTCGAAGAAAATGTCATCGACGAAGGACGTCGAAAACTCCTGTGGCAAGGGCCAAAGCGACGGGGAGGTGTCGTGCTCGATGGTCGGCGTGGTGGAGTAGCGAGTCTTGCTTGTGCTAGAAGTCGGGGAGGTCTTCAAGGCGGTTGCGGCCATCGTGCAAGCGAATGCGATGACGGTGGTGCTGGATAGCGGTTGCTCGCACCGCCTGATGGGGACGAGGGAGGTACTCTCGACCGGTGGCACGCGAGGCTCGGGCACGTTGGCGTCGATACGATCAAGAGCCCCGCGAAGCACGACGTCACCGCTGGCCTCGACCTCACACCGTCGACCGGGGCTGACTTGCCGTGTGCCTCGTGCGTCGGCGGGAAGACACCTTCCCCGACAAGGGCTCGGACGCCGAGGAGGCACTGGCTGTTGTGCATATTGACTTGTGCGGGCCATTCCAGATGGCAGCTTGTACTTCCTCCCGCTGAAGGACCGCCAGACTCGGTTCGTGTGGGTGACGTCGGTCGCTAAAAAGAGCGACGTTCGGCGGGTGATCGAGAAGTGGCTGCTGCTGCTTGTAGAGTGCCAGACGAAGAAGTCGGTGCTTATGCTTCTCTCTGACAGTGGCGACGAGTTTCTGGGGAAGGAATTCATCGACTTCATCGACAAGAAAGACATTGTCCACGACCTGACCTGCCCGTAAAATCCGCAGCAAAACAGGATGGCTGAGTGGGAGATGCGCACGGTCGTCGAGTCTGTGCGGACGATGCTGCTGCACATGGGCGTGCAGCATCACTGGTGGCACCTTGCTCTATGACAGGCTGTCTGGGTGCGCAACTGCTTGGAGCGGTTGACGAGGACGTCGAGGATGGCACCGTATCAGCTGTTGACCATCAAGAAGCCGGATCTCACGCCGGCCCGGGTGTGGGGCTGCATGGTGCAGTTTATGGTCCCTGAGCAGCACCGCGGTGGAAACTGGGGCCAAAGGCTCGTTGGAGACTTCACCTGGGGGTGTCGCCGGAGAGCAAGGGCTGGGAGGTGCTAGACTTGACCAACAACAAGGTGGTCGAGGTCATCTTTTACGATACCCTGTCGCTGGTGGTGTGAAATGCGAAATACGGGCCTGCGTCGGGACGGACGGAGGTCTACCCGCCAACAGACACCTCGACGGCGACGTTCTTGCTTCTCGCCAAGGTCAACGAGCCTGCTGATGCGGACGTCGAGGAAGTCCTACCCTCTCCTCCTCCTCCTCTTGTTCCTGTTGCTCCGCCCCTTGTCACCGATTTGCAAGTGTCGACCACCGGTGATAAGGGGAGCCTTGCGGCGTCGCCTGTGGCGCCGGCCAGTGGCATCGCGTGCGGTTGACATCCGAAATAGCTTGTTGATGAGAATGTGCAGCCGTCGACAACAGGGGAGCAACAGACAAGGGAGCAGGTGCATAACGCGACAGCAGAAATGCCGCCGACAGGGGAGCAGCTGAAGGGGAAGTCGACAGGGGAGCTGTATATCAAAGAGAAGTCGGCAAGCGGGCCGACGAGAGTGGAGAAGCCGGTCGCAGGGTCAACGTTGGTGAAGCAGCTCGTCGACGACGAAGATGTTGACGATGAAGGGGGGGTGTCGGTAGGGGAGGAGTTCACCGCAAAAGATGTGGTGGAGGTTCCGGTCGAGAAGCCGGAGCTGCGACGATCAGGTCGAACTCGAAAGCCACCGGAGTGGCTGAGCTACCACGCCTGTGTGCCACCACACTGCTTGACGATGTTGAGGCCGACGTCGACCCACCGGAGCTCGACCCCGACGTGCACGCCGATACCGATCACCATTGGGACATCGCGCAGATGACGGTGAAGGAGGTGTTGGCAAGCCGGAAAAGTAAGACGGTAAAGGCTGCCATGGACGGAGATCCGTAGCCTCATCGGCATGGGCACGTGGGAGCTGGTCGAACGCCCACGCGGTGTAAACATCATGAAGCACCGCTAGGTGCTGATGACGAAGTACCACATCGACGGCTAGGTGCCCGCCAGAAGGTGCGCTTGATCGTAAAAGGCGTCACGCAGGTATATGGCGTCGACTAGGACGAGATGTACGCGCCGGCCAGCAGCTATATCACGCTGAGGACCTTCCTCAGCTTTGTCGCTGTGCTAGATCTGAACCTGATCCAGCTCGACATAAAGAACATTTTCCTGCAAAGCAAGCTCGATAGGATGTTGTATATGTACTAGCCGGACTACTACGATGATGGGACCGGCCGGGTGTGCAAGGTGTTGAAGAGCCTGTACGGGCTGAAGCAGTCTTCGCTGTTGTGGTACAAGGAGCTTGACGATGTGCTGACTAGTGCCAACTGGATGAGGAGTCAGGTTGATGACGCGCTGTACTTCAAGGTCGGTGACGACGGGGTGACGTACTGGGTGCTCGTCTACGTTGAAGATCTGCTCGCTGCCAGCAGCAGCACCGCGATGCTGAAGGAGCTAAAGGAGCTGTTGGAGGCCGCCTTTGAGCTGCACGAGATCAGCCCGGTCGAGAGTTACTTTGGGCTGGAGATCGTGCGCAATAGACCATCGAGAAAGCTTACATCAACAGTCGTACATCGACGAGTTGCGCAGGCGCTTCATCGACGAGGAGCAGACTGGGCGGGCCCCGAACACGCTAGTCTCCGTCAACGCCTACGTTGAGCTAACGTTAACGGGAGAAGCAGCCGACCGTACGCAGTGGGCAAGCAACTCGACGGGTTTCGTCGAGCTGCAAGAGACCGCTGTGGCGATGCCGTCGACCGGGAGCCGACGGTCTACCTCGACGGGTCAGGTCGACGAGGTGGTCGTCGACCTGCGCAGGACACCTATGGCTGGAACTGTCGACAAAGGGAGTTCGACGGCTGCAGCTGACCGAGCTGGTCGACGGACGGGCCGTCGACCAGGAGGGGTCTTCGACAGGCGCGGGGGTCACCGAGGGAGGTCGTCGACCAGGGTGCGCGCTAGATGGTCGCCCCGTTCTGCGGAGGCACACGAACGTCGTCGAGGTCGCGATGGCGAAGGCGACTACGGGCTGGTATCCCGAATCCGATGTGGCTGATTAGGCACAGACAACCGCTGGTGGGCACATGGAAGTGCACATTGGGCCAATCAAGTGCGCGCACCTGCAAGCATGCGCACTACTGTCTTCTACGAGTGCAATGCTGGACAGCCGCCCTGCTGCAGCGTTGGCACGCCGTCGACCTGTTTTGATGGCAGGCCGCGTTTCTGCAGCGCTAGCGTGGCTGCTCTATGCGACGCTGGCAGACGATCGACCATGCTGTGCTGGCGGTCGACCAGCTGCCCTGCTAGGTTGCTAGTCACTCTTGTAGTCATTCTTGCCATTGTTGTATTATCATTCTGCATTCTCAACTTTCCTTAATAACTGCTTTGCCCCATGAACGCACAAGTGCTAGAGAACACAGACAGAGCTATGATCACTCTAACAACTCGTGCCTACCCTGTAGTCTAGCTCCCACCCTTGTAGATTTTATCTTCGCAGTACTATATGAGAAAATGCGTTAGTTCACAGTATGATTATTATGAGTAAATGCATAACCAAGCGATATAGCGGTACTATGAGTAAGTGCGTTAGTTAGAGATTTAAGCGGTTTAAAAAATAAGTACGTTATTTAGTGATATGAGTGCTACTAAGAGTAATTGCATTACTTAGCGATATGAGTGGTACTAAGAATAAGTGCGCTACTGGGAGATATGTAAGAGTAGGTATGTTGCTTAGCGATATGAGTGAAACTAAGAGTAAGTATGTTACTTGGCGATATGAGTGTTACTAAGAATGGTGCGTTACTTGGCCAAATGAGTAGTACTAAGATTGTGTGCGTTGGTTAACAATATGAGTAGCCTAAGATTAAATGTGTTACTTAGTGATATGAGTGGTACTAAGATTAAGTGCGTTACTGAGCGATATGAATGGTACAAAGAGTAAAAGCTTCTTTTATCGATATGAGTGGTACAAAGAATAAGTGCATTTTTTAGCAATATTAGTGGTACTAAGAGTAAGTGCGTTACTTAGCTATATGTGTGGTACTTGTTGGTGTAAGGGCCTAATACTCAGGAGATTAGGACGTAATCCAACTTAAAACCTCTCCTCGGGGTCACCTCCAAGGTTTTCTGGGTGCCTGGTACAAG